AATCTCCCTAACAGTTCTATTCTTATGTTTAGCCAGTACTGAGCATGAGTCGAACAAAGATTTGCACCCGCAGTCATGGCAATGCATTGAAAGGTGACCGTCCCGATAGTTTTTGATGTTTAGACTATGTTCCCGGAGCCTATCGTTCAGGAAGTGTTTTAGATTTGTTGATGATTTTTTAGTATTTCTTAACCATGACTCGACACATTTCCACTCTGTGGTGGATAGTCTTTTAACTATGTTTAGTGACGCCCTTCATCCCCTGAAACTTACACATGAGGTGCCGGCAGATGGTGTCATTCGTTTCCTCGACATCAGGCTTACTTTCTTCGAGAATCATGTATGTTGGATGTATCAACCTAGAGCCAACAAGCCCCTGCTGCCTTTTAATTCGTCCCACTCAAAACTGGTTAAAAGAGGGATTGTTAATTTGTGTTTCAAAAATGCCCTTCATAAGTCATGTCACCATGTGACACATTTGAGTGTCCAGGAGCAGTCTGAACGTCTGTTGGTGGCTGGTTACCCGGAGGCTGTACTGGTGTCGGTAGCGGAGGTGATCCTTAAGAGGCTTTGAGCAAAGGGCAACACCCGTCCAGATGAGGCCAGGAGTAAACAAAGGATTGCAGTCGTGACCGGGACGGTCACCTTTCAATGCATTGCCGTGACTGCGGGTGCAAACCTTTGTTCGACTCATGCTCAGTACTAGCTAAACATAAGAATAGAACTGTTAGGGAGATTCTCGAAGCGGACGAGATAAAAAGGGCAGGGCTGGGGTGTGTCAGCGTTGCATCTATCGACCTGTTCGATAAGGAGGTGCAGTTCATGCAAGTGGCGGCAAGGCCTGGGGTTGGCTGATTGATAGGATCGAAGCGTGTATATATGCCTCATTTCCATGTTGGTTAAATAGTTGCAGTCAGCGCTCGTGTCTGTCTTGTCTTTCTTTTGTCCTCGTCCAAAAAAGCGCTACCATGCCTTTGGCAACCCAAGACCAATACCAACTAGCCCAGCATTCAGCTTTGATAAGTTACGTGTAACTAATGTAAATTGAAAGTTTTTTTTTCGTTTTTGCATTTGACATTAGTTAAAATGCCAAAAACAGCAGTCGGCTGTAGTACATTTGTTTTCAGAAAATGCGTGTCGAACCGCGACGCTGCCTGAAAGCAAGATGATATTTTTTTTTTACCGCTACCTTTGATCGCTCTCCAGTCCGGACTCAGAAGCTCCAAAGTTCTTAGTTGGATATGTCACAATAATTAGAAAAATATTTTGACGGTGCACGTTAGAACGTTCAAAAATATTTTTATGTCTTCAGGAAGTGGAGTCACGGACGTCAAAATTATATTCAAAACTATTCTGAAAGTGGACGTCGAAGTAGTCACTACCAAATAAAGACGACGAGGATGCTCGAGTGATGCGCTGTAGGACACGTCTTTCTTTTCGCGAGAGGTATATCGGCATTTGAAAGTTGCCTTTAGGCAACGTTACTAGATTACCTCAGTTGTGGAACTCCCGCGGAGGAGAGTACCCCACCTCACTCACTTCAGTTCGCCTCCCGTCGTTCGAAGCGCCATCTAGATCTTGGTTTCATAACTGTGCGTTCCATAGAGAAGAGCTGAAATGTCTCCTAGACGCCGTGATTCAAAACGTACGCTTTCCATAGAATATACTGCAGTTACCATAGGAGCCGTCCGGCGCGTCGAACGACGGGAGGCGAGTCGTGGTGAGTGAGGGGTGGGGGGGGGGGGGGGGGGTACTGCTCGTGCATGCAGCATCTATGAGAAGTTCCGTAACTGAGCCAATGTAATAACGTTGCCTTTAGGGGCTCAAGCAGAAAGCTGCCCTACAGACACGATAAAATTTCCGGATACTCACGTCACCATTCCTACGCATGGAGGGGCAGTGCGCAACGATGCCGTATATGCGTATCGAGCGTATCGGGAATCCGGTAACACACCCCCCGTAAAACTCGACCATCACAGGTTCGAGCTATGGACTTCGGTTTCGGTAACGGCCGTGCACGTCTTGCCCTTCTTCCCACAATACGAGCTGATAAAACACGATAGGAACGGAGAGGCCTTTCTCACGCGTTTGTCGTGGTTCAGTCGCGCTTTCTCGCACTTTTCTGAGCGAACGACGTGGTAACACAATGCCGAAGAACGCGCGGATGCACGCTTTTGAGTACGGACAACTCGAGCGGCGTCGAGGAATCGCGTTCCGCGACTGCATCATCGTCGTGCGCGACGCGTATCTCAACGCATGGCGGCCCGTGCAGTCGTGAACTTGAACCAAGTCTCGGTTCCGAGTGACCTACATGGACTTCGTAAACGAGAGCCCTCCGCCCCGACAAAGGCACGCGCCCGCCCAGTTCTTCCAGCCGAGCCCGAAGGACGCGTCTTTGTCTTTGGTCGTCGGATAGGCTCGGCATGGGTGACGAACGGTAAAACCTCAAGAGGCTAAGGTCGAACGTGCTGCGTCATTACTTCGCGTCGTACGTTCGCGTGCACCGTTGGGGATGCGACTTGTTTCGGATATTCATTGACGCGCCGCAAATCAGAGGGAATGTTGGTGGGAGATCGAACAAAATCACGAAGACGTATGGAGTCAAAGATGTTTTGAAGAACTTGTTGAGGACTGGCGTCCTCGAGGTCAATGACAGCTGACCTTCCGCGACGGTTCGCTAAGAGTCTACCGCACTGGGGACTCTAAAGTTGAAGAAGCAAGTGGTGACTCCCGTTAGACGTTTTCCAAAAGGAGTTTTCACAGGCTGTGCGCAGTTCGAAATTTTGGAGCGCGTGTTTGGTGACGTATGCGGTTTTAGTGTAAATTAATGCCAGCTGGCGCAATTTTCATTACGTATTTCTAAACGTGGAGGATTTTTTTTTAGTTATCGTAGTGTAATGTGATTTCAGGGTGATTGCGTCAACCGGAACGTAGCGTCACGCGTCAAAGCCGCGATATCGACTGCGGTTCACGGGGGAAAAGGGCCAGGTGCATTACACCGACCCAATCGACCCATAATGTGAAGAACACGTGCAAAACGCCGATAAATGTGGTATGTTTTGTCCAAACCCATGAACTAATTTAACAAGCACCCACACTCATGTGCTCCGAATGAAGCACCACTCTTCTACAAAACAATTTAGAATCACTTGTAGTTGATTATTATTTATTTTAATGTCGACTTTGGAGGTTATGACGTCTACATGGCAGCCCCTCCGCTTTGGGTCGTGATGAATCGGCAATGGGTGGGGTTCGTTACGCTTCGAGCAGGTGCGTTGAGCCTCTCTAGATGCCCGTATCCTCTGGTCTCGCTCTGGGAAGCATGTACGTCTTTTGTCACTTTGTTTATCGTCCCACTCAGGCCTCGACAGTCCGTTCGGGGACGGACTAACCCGTTTTCCCTGCAAGAGCAAGATGTGAGTTTTTCATTTCGGAAGTGTGTAGTCAGCCGTATGGCTCAGCCATATTTCCGATTACGCCTCGGAATCATAAACTCTGCAATAAGGGGTAGGAGTCAACACATCAGATATTCAATGGACCTTTTCCGAGAAGTGTCCTGCGCACGCGCGAGCGCCCGATGCCAAGCGGCGGAAGTCGGAACGAAAAATCGAGGAAGGAGGCTGTATATCAGCGAGTAGAACACGTAGCTGCAGCATATATATAATTGTGTTACACAAAAAAAGAACGTCAACAGAAAGGAAAACACGACTTTTGGGTGGACGCCACGGATGCCCCTCTTTAAAGTCGCGTTGGGCAGGCGCCGCTGCTCAGAGAGCGAAGAAACTGGTAGCGTAGCTCCCATTATCGATTGGTAGCGCAGGTAGGTCACTTCCTCGATTTTTAGTTCGTGCAGCCACCGCCTGGTGCCGTCGGTATGTGGAAAAGGTCCATTGTTGCAAGTTAAACCCATGATGGTTAAAGATAATTCTCCAGTTCTGGTTCTTCTACGGGGCCACTTGTATTGACGGTAATACTATGGTCGATGGCAGGTTAGTAAGTACAGTAAATGCTCCACTCTCAGCGCGAACTTTCTGCCTTCGTAAACACTTCTGCGCTGGCGCAGGCAAAGCACGATGGAAGGCATCGAACGCATGCTGTAGGCTGAATATCTGCTTTGTACTTATCCTGTCGCTGACAATATCTAATATAGATGATGATGAAAAATAAAAAAAAGGAGTGGATAGAGGTGCTATAAAACATACGCTCCAGTGCTTTGCCTCCAAATGTTTCATTCAGCCCTTCTAAATGACATATTACTAGTATGAAATGTTTTTGCGAATGCGAGATAATAAGATTATTTTATAGGCAGCAATATGGAAAACGTTGCATTTTTGGACAAACATAACTTTTTAGCTAATTTTGCGTCAAATACCAAAATGAATTAGTAGTCTCCTACAATATAGGATACCTATTCGACGTGGCAGTTCAGGTGGCTGTGCAGCATTCGGTCGGGTCAGACCCAGATTGCCATGGGTCGAGGAAATAAATGAACAGTGGCTCGATTCTAGCTCTACAAATAAAGTGCCTCTGGTCAGCGTGTGCTTAGATGCGCCGTATAAACTGCCCCGGCAAATGTGTCTTTTATATTGTGAAAGACTGTACAAATAAGAGAGCTAAACCTCCCCCCCCCCCCCCCCCCCCCCACAGACTATGCTCTGATAAAGGTGGTTACGCGTGAAAGAGAAGGTAATCAATATTGGGGGTGGGGGGGGGGGGAGAAAAACGAGCCATATAAACTGTTTGTTTCCTCTGTAAACACTATTTTAAAGCCTTTAATACAATGTGGAAGTGTATTATTGATACAATGTACAAGTGTATTATTCAAATTGTATAACTTTGGCCAAGAAAAAAGAGGCACTAGATATCTGTGCAGCTCTTGTGTAAACATTTCTTTTGATTTAATTCAATGTTGTGATACGATACATAAACATATTCTAAACATTTTATATCGCTGACAAAGGAAAAAAAAGAAGGAAACTTATCATGTCTTGGCTTAGATATTATTAGTTTTTACTTGAGGAGAGCCCTTAACACAGCATATGCGTTCATTATTAAAACTGTTTCCATCTGACGAAGCCTTGTTACGATCCTAGGTACAGGCCACAGATACTTATGTAGATAATTGTATGTTCACGTGAGATATATGGCCAAATAAAGATCGTTAGAAAGATCGATTGATATATAAGTTATGGCGTAAATGTCTACGTTTTCGAAGCTAGCACATCATAACCCTGTGGAGAGGTCAACGTTAACAGTCCGATATTTATCAACTATATATTGCGTCTCATTGCCACTACTTTGAGACAAACACGCTATCGAGAATGGGATGGCAACGGGGATGCGTGTAGGAAACCACGTTAGAACCATATGCCCTCGTGTGACATCAGCCGGCGTCACCGCTGCTTCGCGGCCCGTGACGGACAAGCGCTATCAACGGTGCGCATCCCTTGCACTGGGGATGTCTGAAGCTTATAAAAGGACCTCCTCTCGTGAGGTCTTCAGATGAGCGTTCTCCAAGACCCGCTGGTTGAACTCGGAAGCTCTTCGGTCGGGGACTGTCCAGAGACCTGCGTCAGGTAAGGAACGCCGGTTACGAAATAGTCACAATTTTAGGACCTCGGTTCGGACATGCTAATTTATTTCTGGTGTTCGTCGCTGTGTAATATTTTGAGCGGTACTCCCATACTCCTTTGATAAGGATGGGATTATACTGCACCTGGACAAATTACAGCCGGTGACAGGTTAAAAATCAAGTGGATGCTCCACCTTGAGGGGGAGCTTTCTGTCCTTACCACTTCGTCAGACGCGCAGCCAAAACCCGGCGAAAGACAACATGTGAGTTTTGGAAGCATAGCATCTACTGGTCTCCGACTACGCTCCATTTGCTTTTGTGCGATAGGTGCTGTTGCGAAGGTGTACCGACTCGTCCTTTCGAAGAATGATGTTACTATGGCGGGTCTATAGTAACACCAGGTGCACGTACGTGTGTACCATTTACATGGCTTGCACTGACCTCACATTACCTTGTATTTTGGTGGCCTTGCTGCTGATAGCGTACACTGAGCGACACTGTTAGTACGAACGCGACTTCGGCATTTTTTTCTCATTTCGCTTTGAAATGGTTCTGGTGTGCATCTCAACATTTACCACTTGGTTTAAATACCTCTAGTGAGCATTTTCCGCCACTATTCGCCCCTTTTTTGTTTGGCAACAAACTCGGGCGCCATCTGTTGGGTAGCTCTGGCACACTTCCGGTGCACGCATATTTCCTAGTTTTTTTTTTTACTCATCATTCTTTTATTGTAGGAGTGAAATAAGTCTGACAGTGCTATGCAAGTGGCCGTTTCCAGAAGATAGCGTGTATATTTGATTTCGCAAATACTGCAGAAACCCCTCCGTCTAGTTGAGAAACGGAAGTGGGTGGGGGCTATTTGCACACTGGCGCCACCACGTTTCAACCCACGCGAGAAAGAGTTAACAGTAGCTTTGATGGTAGTCCTTCAGCACTGAAAGAAAAATAGAAATCTGTCGATGGTTTGTTCACACTAACAGTGTCAAGGAGTGTTCCTTCCGCAACATACCTTTCGTATCGCCTAACTTGGTTTCCTCGACAAAAACAAGTAGAGATGACCACCGGCATGACGTGATGATGTCACGTGCAAGTCATTTATTACCATTTCATCGAAGCCGCTTGCTTTGAGCGTTCTATGGCCTTAATTTAAATACACACACAAAAAAAAAAAGAAAAAAAAAGGCAAGAGGGTGACCTTGTTATCTCGTCAATTCAATGAGGCCTTTGAAACAGTTGACACAGACATGTACAGAACGCGTTACTAGTTGCTCCTATCTAGTTACTTTTTGGGAACGAGTAAGGTATTTAGTTACTTTTTTTAGAAAAAAGAACGAGTTACGTACTTAGTTACGGCCGAGTAACGTATACTTAGTTAAGGCCAAGTAACGTACTTAGTTAAGGCCAAGCAACGTGTATCGACATTTTGTTACTTTTGAGGAGTAACGTGTACAACACCGCTTAAACAGCCTCGTTTTAATTCTAGCCTGAGTAAGCGTCTATTGCGACAAAGGCAGATGGGCAACCCGACAAACTACTAAATATTAAAACGGTATAGCAACGTTTATCGCTGAACACGTGAGTCGAATTCTAGAGCTTGGAATGTCATTCACCCAGAGAACATAATAAGGTTCGTTGGTTGAACCTTCTAGAATCGTGTAAAGACTGAATGTAAACCCAGAGGTAGCCAACGCCCGAAGGCACAGAACCCATATTCAACTTGAAATTTTAGAAGCAGAGAAAACAAAAGAGTGGGGAATCCCAGATTAACCAGCTCTTCCTGAAGCAAAACACTGCCGTTTATTCGAGCGCGTCAGTAGAACGACTCTTCAGCGTCGCCGGAGATGTATTCTCAATGAAGCGGGGAAACATAGCTGATGAAAACTTCGAGAGGCAGCTACTGCTTAAGTGCAACGACTACCCAAAAAAAAAAAACAAAAAAAAAAAAAACAATAAGCATTGAAACAGAAGCAGTTGTGTATTTGGTCGTCAAAGAAACGATAATCGTATATCGACACTTTTGAGGTAATCCAACGCGTTCCTCTCGAGAATTGGTAAAGAGTAACGTATTTAGTTACTTTTTGAGCGAGTAACGAGTAGCGGTATTTAGCTACTTTTTTTGGATTAACGAGTGCACATGTCTGACTTGAGAGTATGGTTGTCCTCCATAAGCATGTTTCAGCAACACGAGACGATGTACTTCATTTCAGCTTAGGTACAGACGCAGCCGATGCTACAAGCGCGAGCTCCGGGCTTTCAGCGTCCCTGCCAAGCACGATCGCTCGTGCAGTGCATGCATTGTTCAGGACTATATGGTCGCGCTTGTAACATCGACTGCGTCTGAACTTCAGCTGAAACAAAGTACAGGAGAAATCTCTCCTTGCAAAATGTGCTTTTAGCGGTGGTAAAGTTGTGTCCTTGATTGTTAATTTTTTGTTCCGTAGGCACGGCTATGCGGCTAAGAGCATCCCAGCTAGCTTTGGTTGTCTTGGTCCTAGTGCCCTGCTCAACGGCCACGACTCCCTACGTCAATGGAACCCTCGTGACCAACCCCGCCACGAGGGCCGCGCTGGTGGCCGGGGCTCTGCCGGCAACACTGGGACTGGGCAGCCTGCTTTATGGTCTCACAGTTCTTCCCGCTCTGGTGGCTCTTTTCGGCGGCGGAGGATTTCCGCTGGCGGGGTTGTTCAGCAGTCTGTTTCGCCAGAAGAGGTGAGGCTGCTTCTGAAAGGCGCAGGCGGCCTTGCATACCGCTAGCACGTAGAAGACAAGTCTAGCGCGTGACGTCGTCGGTAGTGGACCCCCACCTCCCTCAAGTGGCAAACACGCAGAAGCTCGACGCGTCGCAAAGCGACTGACGCGTACGTCTTGGTGTCGCCGCGTGCTAGCGTCGCGCCCGTTATGAGACGTCCGAGACGCACCGGCAGGGACGCTGACGCGACCGGCGTTGCGTGGTTGGCCACTAGTGATGACGTTTGGGGGAAAAGCCGCAGGCCTTGTCTTTCAGGTCCTATGCGGAGCGCAAGTTCGTATGCTTCCTTTGCAGGGGTTGGGGTGACGTGAGAACGTCGAACGGTTTTGATTGGAAGGATAGTGGGTATACCTCAAAGCAAGCTGCCTTGAGGTCTATACCACTGTCCTCCAATCGCTCCAATCGAAGCCAATCAGAGCTCGAAGTTCTGACGTTACCACAACCTATACAAAAGAAGCCTACGAACTTGCGCTCCAGATTGCTTCTAAGCACGTTTTCACCTCAAGAACCGCAGTGAAACAAAAGTCGGTTCATTGCGGAGCGTTTCTGAAATGTCACGCTTCGTGTGGTGAATAGAAATGCTCATCTGTACGAAACATCAGTTATTGCTTAGTTTAGTCAACCTATAGTTTAGACGAACAGCTAGAGTTCCCAAATAAGCTACGCTTCAGGGCAACGAGACTTCGGCCAATTTGGTGCTTAAAATCAATATTTCCAGTTACTTGAGGCTTTATCTAAAGTCGTAGAAAACGGCTTTCTGTCTTCCATAATTGCTGAAACCGTCGACGACAAAGTAAAGCGCAATCGACTATGCTTTCTGACGCCCCATCTGACAACAAAATGGCGGTGCCCACGAGGCAATCGGCGAATTAAGTGCCGGCACTCTACGCGCACCTTACTCTTAGAGGCTATATAGCTACGTCTGAGTAGAGTTTGGCCGGTTTCTTCGGGGAGTATACGCAGGTCCTCGGGCAGTGACGGCAGCGCGACCGGCGGCAAGGAAGACAGCAACGCTTTCCTCTCCCTGGCGCAAGAGGCCCTCCAACGCTGGGACAAGGCGCCCGATCCCTGCCGCAGGATGTTCATCTGTCAGCTGTCGAGGGAGGCCCTCCAGGCGGGATTTTTGCCCGATCTCCGACCTCTCGACGACATCTTCTCGGGAATCTTCGGGTGAATGGTTTTATTTCTTGGGCCGCCAAACCGTGAGATTGCGTGCTTCCGTGGATAAACACCTCAACAGACCCTTTCCGAAATTCAGTGCCATCTGGTGGTTTGTAAAACAGTTTAGGTTTTGCCATATCAATGGCCGAAATGAACTTGTATCGGCACCGTCACTTTCGCAAGTCAACGGCACGCGAGGAATTGTTCAGTGTGAGTTCTTTCTCGATCACTTTCAGTTCGATGGTGACCAAAAACCTGCGTTCAGACCAAAGCTCCAACCCACTCAGATGCCTCGAGAAATTTCTATACACCAAAGTGCTCTAAAGCCGATTCTGTGCCGCCCAAAGATTGACTGAATCTGAGTTATTAGAAATAAACGCTTACGCAGGCCTTGTGTTCCAGTCCTACGTCGCGTCGTACTGACCCCCAATGTACAGGCCTCTTCAACGTTTTCCTTTATCAGTCACTAGAAGGGCGCCATTGGTATGGCACAGATGCCGTTCCACAGATGATGATAGTGACCAAAGTGGCCAGACTGAATTTCGAGAAGGGTCTATAGCTAATCTTAGCGGGAAGCGTTACGCCGCTATACAAACCAACACGCTGCCCTGACGTCATGCACCGCTGCGGTGGCGCTGTTTGCAAGGCGCACGGGCAAACGCTCACTTGTTTGTAATGGAAGTGTCGGTCTATATTCAGCGGGAAGACCTGAATTGTTGTATAATTGACGCAGTGTTACGTCATCTGTCACTTCTTCACGTGGCGTGACGTTGGGTGTAGGAACAAATGGTCCCGGAACTAATGGTCCCGGAACTAATGGTCCCGGAATAAATGGTCCTGGAACAAACGGAACTAACGGTCCCAAGTCCAAGGTAGGAAAAAATGGTCCCGTAAGAATATCGTTTAGAAACTAAGATACAGCATGCAATATATTTCATCCGTTATGCAATCTGTGATTTTCTGGTAGAATGAAGGATCTCGTTTATATTTTGAGGCCGGTTACTTAATTTTCTTCAAAATCGTCAGAACAGTTATCTCCTAACTGTTAATTTAGTGACCTTATACGATAATATAGGAGTTACTGCTATTTTCATATAAGGGGCTTTAGGATATTTATAGTATCAGTAGGCTCTTTTGAAACAAAAAATCGGTACCCTTAGTCATTCTGTTGAAGCCATGAAACCCGAATTACTTCCATCTCGCCATGACCCGTGATGGTAACACACAGAACGAGCGGAGCTCGATGCCTTTATAGGTGCATTAGGTTTCCATGCACATTTGGTGCTCCTCCATGTCTCTTTAACCAGATCAGCGACTGCTCTAGCTAGGTTAAACTATATTTTACGGCAAGATGTTCAGAAATTATACAATTTATTGATAACGCATATATGGACGTGCCTTAACCTCTTACACCTGGTGTTCAAAACCGAACAGTGCGACTGACACCTCGAAGGAATTCCCCTATCGTCTTTGCTCCCTGGTCGTACTGGGTGGGGAGAGTCTGCACTCGGCGCTGCATCTTGACCAGCGCTGTTTTTGTTTTCTTCTCCGCAAAAACTCCCCCTGAGCAGTTTTTACAGAGACGGAAAAAGCTTCCGCCCGTAGAGCGTCGATCTCCTTCCATACAGTTGGATGGCTATGCCCGACTATGCTGCTGAATCCCCGGTCACATGCCTCGCAGTTGTTCTTGAGCATCATTTTTATATAGCAGTGTTTTTGAGCAGTATATTTATATAAGCGAGCCCCATTCCATTATTGTCGTAGAGAGGCTACCTAACTTTTTTTTTATATGGGCTGAAAATATATTAATATATGACGCTTGTAGCACAAAAGTTTAAATAAAAACAAAAAGAAAATCAGCGCAAAACATTTCTGAGCTTCCCAGAAAAATATAAAAACCGGACAAGTTTGCGCAACCGCCAGCATCGAAATTCGAAGCTTTTCGTATAAATTGGAAACCGTAAAATGTTTTACCGGCGAGTGTTATTGGATTTTATTGGATTTATTCGAAAACGCCGAACCCAGATTGACAATATTTATCTGGGATTATTTTTTCCTAGTTTGTACTTGGGACCATTAGTTTTGGGACCATTTGTTCCGGGGCCATTTATTCCGGGACCATTTACTCCGGGACTATTTGTTCCGGGACCATTTGTTCCGTTTCTCCGTGACGTTACATGACACTGTGTCGCACCACTGCGACGTCGCATTTCATCTCCTTTGGAAACAGGCATAAAAGAAACGCTGTTTTTTAAACCCATCAGAACAATTATTCGAGCGAAGCCGACCTTTGGTAAAATGTCAGTTCGTATAGGCTCTGCTCTTTTCTAGACTTGTCGGGTTATTCAAGGGGACGTTTGGCAGTTGCGAAAATCACAAATCTTTGGAACGTATAATCTAAAAAGATAAGAATTGACTAACTGAAGAAAATAGGTGTTGGTATTTCTTGGTTCAAATACTGCCGCGTGCGTAGCGAAGTGTCGGAATTGCAGCGCATGTGGAATTAGGCCATAAGTCGATGGTAAAAAGCAAACTAGACATACGTTGAGCAAAGAACTAGGATTTGCCTCGACGTCATGTCTTGGTAGGGTACGTTGTTGGGCTAGTTGGTTCATCTTAGTAAAACATATCAAATAGCGCTACAGAAAGACAAGAATTAGAGCCTGTCCTGTATACTTCTTGTCCTTGTCTTTCTGTTGCGCTATTTTATGTTTTACGTCATGTCTTGTCTGTTTGTCTTTAATGTCCTCTTTCCTTATCGTAAATTAGAAACCAACACGCTGAACCACATTTGCTGGTGTGGCAGAATTTATCAATCCTCTCAACCTTGTTAAACAGTTTGATTACAAAAGGACCGGAATTTTGATGATTAGCTTTCATAATCAACGACAACAACAACAAAAGAAACAGCACACATATACTTGTCCCATTCCGGGATCTGAGAAAAATTAAAATAGAAAGAAAACGGTAATGAATTATATTAAGTTTATTACCTAACTAATTAACCCATTTTGTCTCTTTTTAGTGGCACCGTAGCAACCAGTTTAGCCCCAGGGCTATAGAGAAAAGAAATCGAAAGTTCCCTTAAAAAAATGTTGCCCCCGCTCCCCTCCCCCCTTTCCTCTCTTAGAAAAAAAAAAAAAAAACACTTATATATTAGATCTGGTAGAAGGATTGAGATGCGAAAAAACTCGTGCGTTGATTCGAATAGTAGGAAGCGCTGCCCTTGGCCCTGTATTTATTATTTAATAAGTGGAATGTGTTACATTCTCTTTGCAGGGACTTCACCAAGCCATTGAAAGGCAAAGAAGGAACCATGTTCCCGCACCAGGATCTATTCATAGCTGCCAGAGACGGTCTTCGTGGCTGCAAGACCAAATACAACTGCGACGCTCCACTAAAGCCGCCTAGATATCCGAGGAAGAAAACTCCATAGAACGAAGCTCTCAGCCGCTGAAAAGTGCTAAAATGGAAAACAAAAACCTAGAACCAGGCATGCTTTGTACGCGCTGGTGGACCTTCTTCTGACACTGAATGTTTCAAGGCTGACTTCACTTTTTACACTTTTCCGTTAAGATCTGACGGGAAGGAACCGTACAAAAAAAGACCAGGAAAACAAAGGAGGTATCGGAAGATAACAGAGGAGACGAAAGAGACATGACAACGGGGGGGTCCTTGTTTTTTTTTTTTTTTTTTTTTTGTTTTTGCGCTGTTAATGGTTAGAACGAATCACCAACCAGAACCTCACTTGTCACCAGCTTGCGTAAGTTTCCTTAAAATTAAAAGCGTGAGAGATAAGACGTGCAAACGGAAGAAGAAAGGAAAATTAGCCACGTTTCGGGCGCACGCCCTTTGTTTGCCAGGCAAGATTTGTAACCTTGTCCAACTTCAAAGGCGATTTGAAGGAAGGCGATATTGAGCTTCAACTGTGAAGTTGCTTCGCTCGCTCAGATCATCATCATCATTTCTCCAAATCATTAATTAATCTCTGTGAAGCTCGTGTAAAAAAATCAAATTAAACGACATGCTAAATTACGTGGACTCCAAATAATTTGAAAAGTGCGTCCTGGTACCGAATTAGACTACTTTCTTACTTCCACTAAATGACGGGGTACAAAATTCAACGAGAAAGGAGTATAATATTTTTTTCTAGGCTCGACTAGCGTCAGGCGGAGCCTGGTTAGGTTGCATATGTCTGTGCCGTGGAGATCTCGGTTTAAGTTCTTACACGAAGGAGGTTGGTTTCGCGTATAGTCTCATCCAGGAACGGTTTGAGACTGAGAACCGTTAATCCAAGGTCACACTTTTTGTACATCATACAAAACGACACGGAGTTTCTCCGCAGACATGATAATCAGACTCATCTGTGGACACGCCTCAGAAATCTCCGAGGCGTGTTTGCTCCATATATATACACGTGTGCTTGGAACATATCTGCGGACAGTTTTTGCATAACCAATGGGAGAAACACGCCTGAGAAAGTGTCTGCAGACGGTATTATGCATTGGCAGTGCGCCCGCGACGTTAGTAATGTTGAGCCAGTCCACACGGACTCGAAACTGAGCGGCATAACCGATACTATAGCTCCTGATGGGTCTGGAATTTTCGAAACCCTGCAGGAACCTCGTGTACCAGAAATTGCGTTCGTCGTTGGTCTTAGAGACACTGGCAACATTTTGGTGAAATCCGTTCCGGAACTGAGTTCAAGATTGCAAATATGTGGTTTGTGTTAGTCGTTCTTTTTGGTAAAACACGATTCTAAATGATGAGGTGACTTATGAGTGACGCGCATTTTTCTTCTTGCTAGTGCGATTCGTGAACGCGAAGCAGCCTGTCCTTTGCAGCTCTTGCTCCGTGAACTGTTGGGTTCAGAAGATTGAAAACTTGTCCCTGGGTATGAATTTTTCACAACTCGTCGACGGCTTATCATTCCGCACACACACGATTGGGACCTGTGATCTTTTATGTGTTCCAAATTGCGATAAATCTAAAGGTCACGTTTCTTTGACAAGTTTACTCTGGTCCAGATCTTACCCCTGCGGTTCGACGAAATAGAAGTGCTAATGAACCTTGTGTTCGTACTTTCGGTATACTGTGTATAGATATGCTGTTTGTCCCAGGTGCGTCTGTATAATGAATTTGAGTAAACCCTTGGATTCGCTGCCTTCTCACTGGCTTTTTCCACGCTCTTTTGCGCGCTCTTTCGATGGGATGAGTTCGTTCAGATAAAAATTCCTGTTGATTATTTCGGCGGTTAAAAATATACTGTCCTACACAAGACAGTTCATGCCTCAGCTGGCTCCCGCATGACGGAGCTGTGCTCCGTCATTCGGAACCTAGGGGAGCGCGCCGACAGTCGCCTGCCGCCACAGGCTCCCGTAAGTCATACATAACCCTAAAGCCCCTTGATGCATTACTGTGCGCAAGTAGCTTCGAATGCGCCAATTCACATGCCTCGTGCAGCCTCCGAAAACAAATCCTGGGAAAGTAGCGCCAGGGGGCAGTTTCTCCTTGACATCTCCATTCTTAGTGAGCCGATCTAAATTCCGTTGTGACGGGTAGCTTTATAGAGACGTTTCTTGTATACCGAGATTTTGCTATACACACACTGACGAAACAGGCGTACATCTTCGTACCGCCTGATGCGGCTTCGGGGCCTGGATGCATTAGGTCTGTTAGATTCATTTCAACTGGCTGAAACAGTTGAGCAGTGCTGGAGCTGGCGCATTCGATTCAGCCTGAAGTTGCACGGCCGCTGCACTCGCGGGTTCGACTCGTCCCACTTCTCAACGAGTACTTACATAGTTCCTCAAAACTTTGCAGCGACTCTAAAGTTAGTTCTGCGTCTATGCAGAAGCAGACGACGAGAGCAGACAACACTCTTCGTCCGTCTCTGCTCGTGGTGCCATTTCTCGAAGCTCTTGGTCAAACGTTTGCGGTGTTTAGCCTACGCAATAGCCGCTGAGACGGTGGATATGTTTTCTCTCAATTATAAACATAATCTATGCGTGGTCGACGCGGAAGCGAGGACAGAGGCAGAAGCTTCAGTATGATATTTTGAAAACGCCTTACGCACCTGCTCACGTCGGTTTGGCTGCTCTCTATGGTAAGTGTCGAAAGATTAGCTCACGTCAATTGTTTCTACTTTTTTTATGCTACGTGAATATTTACTATGTTGATATTTCTTTTTGAAAGCCACGGCGACAGAATTACACACGAATTAGCCCCTGCCGTCAACAGCCTAGGGAGACATCGCAAAGGTCGGCGATTGTCTTAGATTGGCATTTGTGTGTTTATGCATAGCTCCAATACGGCATGCTTTGTCTGTTGGCAGCTGTGGTCGCCCACAAACGGGGTCTGAAAAAGAAAATACCAACGCCGAGATTTGACAATGGTCTGGCGCTTCCGCGTGGACCTTTCTTGAACAGGTGCTACACAGGAGCCAATGCAAATCCCTTTCTTTTGGATCTTGCTGTTGGGGCTCAGTACAAAATTTCGGTCCTTTTTCAAGAACACCGCGTATATCATCCGGAAGGGGCTTGCAGCCTAAGAGCGTGGAAAGTAAAACGAGATAGTCATCGACGTATCTAAAGATACGTGTTACAAGGTTTGTGGGAAGGCTCTGGGCTATTGCCCTGTCACAGGTGGAAAGAAAAATGTCGCATAAGACAGGTGCTACACAGCAGCCAATGCAAATCCCTTTCTTTTGGATCTTGCTTTTGAGGCTCAGTACAAAATTTCGGTCCTTTTTCATCATTGGCTCATTGGCTCATTGGCATCATTGGCTCCTGTGTAGCACCTGTCTTATGCGACATTTTTCTTTCCACCTGTGACAAGGCAATAGCCCAGAGCCTTCCCACAAACCTTGTAACACGTATCTTTCGATACGTCGATGACTATCTCGTTTTACTTTCCGCGCTCTTAGGCTGCGAGCCCCTTCCGGATGATATACGCGGTGTTCTTGAAAAAGGACCGAATTTTTGTACTTTCTTGAACGCGTGGGCGCCTCTCCCGACGTCACGCGCCAAGAACGCCAACCAACAGTCCAAAGTGCCGCAAGCGACGGCAGGGCGCGCACCCGTGTGGGGAGCGTCACAGCCGTTTATTGGGAGAGTTTGGTCATACGCGTACATTGGTTTGAATAGGCGAGCATCTCGGGGCCAACCACAGGCCTCGAAACAGTCCCTAGTGGTGGTCGTGAGAAGACACGACTAATTTATCAAAATTAATTGGGGGGCTAGTTGGTTGAACATCTAGACGGTGGTTTAAAAAAAGCGCAAAGGACTAAGAAGGGAAGGGGGGGACAGGACAAAGCGCTCTGTCCTGTCCCCTCCTTCTCTTCTTAGTCCTTTGCGCTTTTAAAACCACCGTCTAGATCGACGACTAATTTAAGCCATTTTAGTGTCGCTAGAGTGAAAAGGTATAACTCTCGGTAATTGAAAACTTGGCGCATGTGAGGTGTTCGTCACGTCCATATTCAACGGCAGAATGAACGAACGTGCGCTCCAAATAGGGGTCGACTTGCTAGAAGTAGAGTGTTCTACACTGTACTAGAAGCAGCGTCTCAGATGAGACTGGGGGAAAGAAAGCACTGCCAAAGCCAGCGAAGTGTCGGTACCCCACAAGGGTCGGTAATCTCCCCCCTGCTCTTTAACTTGGTCATGATAGGAGTGGCTCAGCGGCTACAGGAAGTTAGAGACGTCAGACACACCATTTACGCTGACGACATCACGCTATGGCTCAGCAAGGGCAGTGATGGACACATAGAGGATCGGCTGCAAGAAGCCGTATTGGCAATTGAGGATCACCTCGAGGGGTCGGGACTTGTGTGCTCTCCAGCGAAGTCAGAGCTGTTACTTATCCCCCCCAAGAGGGTAGGAAGGCGGAGAAAAGACGCACCGATTATGGTGGAACGACCAAATATCACGATTTGAACCAGAGGGGGACAGAAGGTCCCGGAGGTTGACAGGATCAGGGTGTTGGGAATGCTCTTCGAGAGGAACAGGGTGAACGGGGCGACGATCACCAAGCTCAACAATAAGGTCATGTCTACCACCAAGTTGCTAAGACGAATCTCCAACCGCAAAGCCGGTATGAAGGAAGAAAGCATGATCAGACTCGTGCAGTCCTTTGCAGTCAGCCAGATCGCATATGTGGCTGCCTTTCACAAATGGACGCCTGCCGAACGAAACAAGATAGACGCTCTCATTCGCAAGGTTTACAAGATAGCTCTCGGACTACCGGGCAACGTGGGCACGCAGAGGCTTCTCGAGTTGGGGGTGCACAATACCCTAGAAGAAATAGCAGAAGCTCAAAGAACGGCGCACCTCGAGCGGCTCTCTAGCACGAGAACTGGGAGGAAGATTTTACAAGACTTGGGCGTCAATCCCAGCGGCGTCGCGTCGGAGGACACGGTGCCAATACCGAGCCAAATGATGACCAGACTCCAGGTCTACCCGATACCGCGAAACATAAACCCCATACACGACACGGGGAGACGCGCGGCGCGGGCGAGAGCCATTGTGGACAGCTACGCGCAGGACGAGAGAGCCGTGTACGTAGATGCGGCGGAATACCAGGACCAAGGAGAGGCCTACACGGCGGTGGTGGTGAACGCATCGAATGGAGCGACCAGAGCTGCAGCCAGCACCCGAGTTCGCAACTCGCATCAGGCGGAAGAAGTGGCCATAGCTCTAGCTGTGGCCGACCCAGGCTGCGACACGGTGATCAGTGATTCCAGGACAGCAGTGCTTAGTTTTGCAAAGGTTAGGGTGTGTGGTGCGGCGGCTCGCATTTTGCGAGCGGCCACAACGACAGGACGTAATCGGGATGGTGCAGTGGTGATCAAGTGGATCCCGGCCCACATGGGCAGTGAAGTGTCGGTGAACGGTAATCCCAACAACAACGAGACGGCCAACGTCGCAGCGCGAGGACTCACCAACCGGTCGGCGACAAACGGGACAGTCTCAAGTGGTGGAGAGTGGTTTAGTATGAAGGACCGCATGACTACGTATAACGAAATAGTGAAGTGGTATTGGTTAGGAAGGAGAGTAGTACCTCCCCCTCATTCCGAGCTAAAACGTGAGGAGGCTGTGATTTTTAGACAATTACAGACAGGGTCGCTATTAACACCGGTGCTAGCTAAACACATATATCCAGGACTTTACGCGGACGACACCTGTGGACTTTGCAAGAAGGCGAGGGCCACCGCGTCGCACCTGTTGTGGGACTGTGAACTCAACCCAAGGGAGGCAAGCGAGAAGACGACGAGTCCCCCGCAGTTCGAAGACGCGGCGCGGAGCTGTGAATTAGAGGTTCAGCGTAGGGCCGTCCGGCTGATCACAACCGCTCTAGATAGGCAACGGGCAAGGGATGATGGGGGAGGTGAGGGAGCTCGCGGAGGTCCGATGGGCTCCCCTCTCGGCCCCGGATAGAAAAGGGGCGCGCCGGGGGCCGAGAACTGGTGGGAGGGGAATAGCCGAGGGGGTCGTACCGCGTGGCGCGTAGTCACCACCACCTGCGTGTGGAGGGGCTACCGCCAACTGCTGGTTGCAAATAAAAGTTGTTCACCACCAAAGCCAGCGCACGAGCTGAGCGGGATTCCATCGGCGTCTCGAGACGCTCGCTCTCAGCTAAGACACTGTTCTACCTAGGGTGCCTTCATGTGCGCTTTGCTTAGGGTGGAGACATCTGGCCATTTTGTTCCCACTTTTACATTTATTTTTTGTTCAGAAGCGCGTGATAGAGCGTGTTCATGCACGCGTCTGTGGCGCTGACTGTGCTATGGCGACATTTTGTTTTCGTCGATTTCTTTGTATTTTCCCCGTGAGCGCGTGCTGTCGGCATTGGTATACTACAAAGGGTGGCATCACTCGAAACAGAAGGTCATTGAGGCACCCAAGTTCTATCAAGCCTGTCACTCTTTAAATGTCGTTTTCAATATTGTGACGTCGCGGCCTGCTGATTGGTCGACGCTGTGTTGTCCTTTTAGTTTACGCTCTAACCGCGGGGGCAGTATTCGGCGCTGGCGGTGGCCTTTGCTCCGCCCAATGGCCAAACTCTCCCAATATACGGCTCTGGGGAGCGTCAGGGCCGTTTATTGGGGCGCGTGGCCACGAAGGAATTATTTAAAGGGACGACCAAACCGAAGCTCGGCTCTACGCTCCTGGTT